GGCTTTTAGAAAGCTTCTGGACAGGAAGGGGGTGGAGCCTGCCGGGCGAGAGACCGTGAAGCTGGTGTTGATTGGTGGATGTCGTAACCAGGAAGATGAGGAGAGGGTGCAGATGCTGAAGGGATTGTGTGTGGATCTGGGTGTGGTAGATAGGGTGGAGTTTAAACTCAATATCCCATTTGAAGAACTGAAGAAAGATTTAACAGACGCCACAATCGGGTTGCACACAATGTGGAATGAACATTTCGGTATTGGTAAGAAATATCATGCTCTCAGCAAAATCTCAAAACACTATACAGATTACTTAAAGAAAAACTACTTAATTACTTAAAATGTAATTAAAATGTTACATTAGTTACATTATTTTGTAAAATTGAATAAAAAGAATATTTTATTAAAATTTGAAATATAATAGATTAATAGAATATTATATATATTATACACATTATACATATTATGCATTGTAAAATGTTTTTTTTTATTTGTTAGAAATAATTGAAATTGACAAAGATTATTTTTCTCCACAGTGCATATTTGCCAGTGTTATTTTAGTATCATTGATATTACATTTTAGTTTTCGGATAATATTTTGAATTAGATTTCATTTGATATTTTCTGTTAATCTCTTTCATTTTAGTTTTGATCATTTTTGTCATTTTATATATATTTATTTAAATGCCTGTATAGTTTTTATTTATATTTATTGATTAGTTTTTGTTTACTTTATTTTTAGTTATTTTAGTATTTTAAGTTAAACTAAATGAAAATAAGAAATGTTGCCTTGGCAATTAGCTAATATATATAGCTAATAGTAATATATTTTAGTATAACTGATGTTACATTTTAGTTTTCGTTAATATTTTCAATTAATTTCATATTACGGTATATTTTCTGTTAATCTCTTTCATTTTAGTTTTAGTTATATAGTTGTGTTTTTGACATTTTTATATATATATTTCTTTAAATGCCTGTATAGTTTTTATTTATTCTTATTTATTTGTTTTAGTCCTTTAAGTTAAACTATAAATATACAGGTGCATCTCAATAAATTAGAATGTCATGGAAAAGTTCATTTATTTCCGGTATGCACCTGTATATATATATATTATTTCAGGTAACAAAAATGTTTGTTTAGGGTTTTAGTTTCCATTTTAGTTAACTAATAACCCTGATATTTCCCTGACCGTTACACTGAGAATTTCTCATCTTCTCCCACATGTCCGCAGGTGTAGTGGAGTGTATGGCTGCAGGAACTATCATTCTGGCTCACAAATCCGGTGGTCCCAAGTTGGACATTGTAGTTCCCTATGATAACGGTCCAACTGGCTTCCTGGCAGACGATGAAGACAGTTATGCAGATGCCATGGAACGAATCCTTGCTATGACTCCTGCAGCTCGATCAGAGATCCGACGCCGGGCACGTCTGTCCGTCTCCCGCTTCTCAGACCAGGAGTTTGAAGGCTCATTTCTTTCAGCCATGGAGCCTCTAATGTCAACACTAAGACTGTGAGTGATCGAGGAGGGGGTCATGGTGACTGACTATAGTGATATAGTTCAGTCTAATTCACGAGCGTGTGCTGGCCCTGTAATACTGACTCCAAATCATTCCTTGTCTAGAGCAGAAGTGAGCACACCTGCCTGTCTTGTGAACATTTGCTCTTTACGTAACATCACTAAGGTAAGGGAAAAGCATCATGGGAAATGCTAGTTCTGGTGAGATGCCACCTTTTGCTTTAACTTAATGACAGATTGAATGACAGATTGCTGCAAATGAACAGAAAGCAGTAGATATTGTATAATTTAAATGCAAACATGCAGTTTTTTCTTCATATCTGTTGTGTGTACATTATATATGATAGAGTACAAATGTAATAGCTTTGTTTTGTTTTGTTGTAAAAGGTTTTAGAGGGTTACACAACAAGACTAATGTTTAAAAAAAGTGATGTTTCTCTTGGAAGATTCAAATTATACTAGTGCTTTGCTTTTTTTTTTGCAATAAATTATGAGTGAGTGGTCTGGAAATATAAACAAAATGCTTGTCCTGTTTGATGGAAAATAAACTGAATTCACTATTACCACATCATTTTAAGTAGCAATATTTTCATGTAATTATTGCATTCACAGTTATTACATTGGAAAGCTGTGCTCAGTTCTCATTTTTGTCACATACTGCTGTCCAGACCTTTTCCACGGTTAACCAACCTCCAGTAACAGAATTGGTTTTACATAACTGCTGTATACAGAAAAGCTGTCCCAGGAGCACAGATTCTGAGTAAGGGAAATAGTGTTTGTCTGTCTAGACTAGATAGGAAAGTGAGAGAGAGGCCAAATTAAACAGCGCATAGTATCTGGGAAAAGAGGAGGGAACGGAGAGGGTTGAGGATATTTAAACAGCTAGTAACAGAAACCTAACAATCAAATTTACTAAACAAAACAAGTACATTTTTCTCAAATACTACTGAAATCATTATACTTAAAAGAAAAAAAGTTATGTGAACTCAATGACTGTTAAAGAGAGTGAATGTTGAAATTGTGTTATCGGTGTATTTTTGCATAAGATTAATAGATTAATCTCTTAGTGGTTTTCGATTTTATGCAAATAGTTTTATGGACTCAAACTAAACAAGCTCACAGTACATAGTAGATTGGTTTTAAACTTTAAGGCAATTGTTTCCTAAAATGGTTAACCTTAACTAATATTGGGTATTACAGTGTGCATGTGTACTTTCTAATAATAATAAATATTATTTATAATAATGTACTAATATTAGTGGTCGACCAATATTTGTTTTTTGATGGCCGATGCCGATTTCTTGGAAAGCAGGGTGGCCGATATAAAGCCGATATAATTTTTTTTTTTTAATTAATGTTTAAGAAATTTGAAATCATTTGAAAATGGATTAAAAAGTTAATGTGTTAAATAAACATACTTATACTTTAGATGACAAAGTATTTTTCACAAATAAATATTTAATAAAAAATATAAAAAAGGAAGTGAACACTAACCAACAGGGCACTCAGTATTCTGGGAAGTTTGTGTGCATTGGGAATCATATTTTTTCAAATAAAGCCAAGGTAACACTCATTTTACAAACAGCACACAGTGGAAATGACATGAATATGGCAGTGGGCAAATGCATAAAGTGCAGCATAATTTGAAATCACGAGTTTAGTTTGTCGATCGCACGTCTCCAGTGAAGCTGAACTCTCCTCCTGTCTGCATTCAATTCACACGGACCGACCGTCACAGAACACGCGATCATGCAGGATACACATACACACTTCACAAGATCTCCTAAACTGGATCCGACTAAGTCTGCAAGGTTTGTGAAATTAAATGTTCATTAGTCATTCAAAGATTTGTGTAAATGATGTAAATGCGTATTTGCTGAATGCTGATGGCAAATGAGAAAGAATTATAATGTTTGCCTTTCTATTACTAATAATATAAAAGCAATCGTTATAATACTTTTTGTATACATTTTAATTCCTTTGTTTAACCGTTCTAACGCATCGGCCAAAGAGGAAAACTTATCGGCCATTGCCGATATTTGAAAAATGCCAAATATCGGCCGATATATCGGCCTTGGCGATATATCGGTCGACCACTAACTGATATACATTATAATGAAATCTCTTCTGCTCACTAAGGCTGCATTTATTTGATAAAAAATACAGTAAAACCGTAATATTGTAAATTATTCTTTAATAAATCTATTATTGAAAATTCAGCTTTGCATCACAGGAATGAATTAATATATAAAAATAGAAATGGTAATTTTGAATTGTAATAATATTTCAGAATATTAAGCTGTAATTAAAAAAGATTATTGGACTACATTTTACAAGAAAATACTATTTGAGGCAAAATGTCACAATTCATTCAATGTGGTACTTTGAAATCGATTGTGAAATTTACAAGCAAAGTATGAGTTAAAATAGTTTCTACAACATAATTTTTTCATTGAATGCTTCAAGGAACAAGGCTATTTTTCATAACATGTATTAATTGCAATATTTGTTACCTGAAACAATAATTCTGCCTTATACATTTTTGCTGTTTCATAATTTTTGTACTGTTTAATATTTGATTGTTTGGCAGCACCTCTGTTATTAGGACATGGTGTCTCAACTGTCAACATGTTCAATAACTGTGTAATAGTTCAAATGTGTTTAACAGACTATATACAGAAATGAACCAACCTTGAGAAATATTCACAGAAGTAAGTGAAAATTAGCTGTAACAATTCATGATTACAATCATAGGAACTTGGAAAAGGAGCAATAGGAGATTCTCAGAAACTACTAATGGTTAAGAAAGCAGAATTAGACGTCTGCTAACTTAGCTTTTTCATGAGTCACTGATTTGATTTCACTGTCAAGAATATATATTGATTTCTTCCTCTGTTCAGCTATATTTTTAACTTTTTCAGATGCAGGAGAAAATCAGAAAGAAAATGTTTATAAATAAATGTAACCGATGCATCATTCATGCAGACACTTCTCTAAATTCTTTTACAGTAAATTATAAGGTGACACACACACACATATATATATATATATATATATATATATATATTTTTTTATAAAAATATATATGCATATGTTGTTTTAAAACTATTTTATAGCATTTTACAGTTAGTTATATGGGTTGGCTTGTATAAACATCATATAATTGTCATATATATATATATATATATATATTTATTATTATTTTTAATTTTTTTTATTCCTGTAATGGCAAAGCTGAATTTTCAGCAGCCATTACTTCAGTTCACTGTACACAGTTTTTCAAGTACATCATCCAAAATGGTATGTTGTAATTTTGCACAGTCGTTTTTAAAATTGTTATTATCAGACCATATTCTGGGTAAAACAAGCATTGGGTTTGCATGACAAAGTTCCTCTTTACCCAGATGTGCACGAACAGGAGAGAGACGCCAAATCAAACAACACCTTGTACACAGAAAAGAGGAGGAGAATTAGAAGAGCCATCACAGTTAAAAAAAGGACTGTTTGGTAGGAAGAGTGTCCAGTGTGATTGAAACGAAAATGAGGTGCTGTGTTTTTCTCTTTCTGCTCCTGCAGGTTTTAGGAGGTTTAGGTGAGTGCGGTCTTGATGTTGATTATTAGCACAGACTGTAAGACATAAGGAATAAATATGTGACAATACAAACAATGGAAACATGCAGCTTTCATACTTTGCTAAAATAAATGTCAGTAGTCTTTACGTGTTGACTTTTAATCTTAAAAGTAATTTTTTGTGTGGATTTAGTTGTAAATCATTAAATAAGTTACATGACCTCTGACATGCAACCATAGGCTTACCTCTGTTTGAGCTCAGCTCAAAAGCAGATGATGCTCTGCAGATGGCGCTCAATCGGATTAATGCACGCATTGCCAGGAATCATCTCTACAGAGTGTCCAAGGCATCTGTAAAGAGGGTCAGTACACACTCTTACAACAACTCTTTTATTTCTACATCTGGCAAAACTGGTGACTAGCGAGGATCCAGTCATCAATGAAAGACAAAGTATAACGAATGAATAGTTTAAAAAAGCAACAGCCCAAAATACTGACTGCTGAGCATTTGCCTTTATTTACCTTAAGATTGTTCCTCTGGGAATGAACACATTTGATCTGCATCTGAGGTTTGGCATCAGGGAGACGGAGTGTCAGAAGAGCTCTGGGGTCGATCCTCAGGGCTGCATGTACCGCAAAGGTTTTTTTGTGGTAAGTTATCTCAAGGTATTCATATCATATGTGTATGGACATGATCCGGGTTTGCCAATAGATCATAATAATTGTACCAGATTTGTGCACCATTGATAATTGAATTAACACCTTTTCAATTGCTTAAGCTGAATTGTGGAAGCAATGGATGCAATATGTGAATATTCACAGAATTTGTATAAACTGATGGGAGTGGTTTTAATTTTCAGTATAAATTACCCATAAACATGTCATCACACACGTTGTCTACAGTGTAATAACAACAGCTATTTATAATTTATATACTCATATTTTTTATTTTATAGGCCTTGGTAAAAGACTGCATTTTCCAATGCTGAGAATTTTCAATATATTTATATAATAATGTTTTACTAATTTTGGTCAAATAAATGCAGCCTTGATGAGCAGAAAATACCTTCTTTCAAATTTTTTTTTCAATCACTAGGACTAATTTTTCAAATATTAGGTCACTAATATATATATACTGTATATAAAAAAAACTGCACACAGTTCTCCTAACACTGTAACAAAAAATATTATTGGAGTATGTTTACAAGATAATACTATATCAGTCTTGCTACTGTTAATGTTCACATTTAATTCTCGCTATTTGCAATTAATTGTAAAATTGACAAGCAATTTCTGAATGGTTTCTACACCAATCTTTTTTTCAGTGTATTTTTTGCCTTGGCACAGCAGTTAATTTTGAATCAAAAAAGCACTAAAACTTCCAAAACACATAATAATTGTCTCTTCATACATCTCAAATCAAGTCATTCTTTACAACAATAGTAATGTTTGTGACCCAACAAACACACTTTCTCACTCATAAAACAATGACCTAAATACACTGACAACAGATAGCATTACACAATGTTTTCTTTTGTAAAATTTCTTTACAAAACAGCAAGTTTCCCCATTTTTATAGACATATATAATGAAATTGAAAGACTAACACTTGTGTAGGTATTAGGTTTAGAACATTTCAATATGGCATTACTGTAGAAATGCAGCAAATTGCTGTCTTAATCAGTTTATCCACAGATACTATTGCGCTTACTGTGTGAAGAGATTTGAAAATTGATCCAAGTACTGAGAAATTGGATCTAGCAACAGTTAAAAGCTATACCGACCCCAAGCATTTGAATGATAAAAAAAAAAAAACTAAAAAAGTATTATGTGACTGCTGAACTTGATTTATATATGAATAAATAAGCTTTCCATTGATGTATAGATTGTTGTAGTAGTTTGAGCCGAGATACAACTATTTGAAAATCTGGAATCTGAGGGTGCAAAAAAAATCTAAATATTAAGAAAATCACCTTTAAAGCTGTCCAAATGAAGTCCTAAGCAATGCATAATACTTAGCAAAAATTAAGTTTTGATATATTTATGGTATGAAATTTACAAAATATCTTCATGGAACATGATCTTTACTTAATATCCTAATCATTTTTGGCATAAAAGAAAAATAGATCATTTTGACCCATACAATGTATTGTTGGCTATTGCTACAAATATACCCGTGCTACTTAAGACCAGTAGTTGTGGTCCAGGGTCACATATTTTTAAAATGTGTATATTAACAATCCTTTGTAGAAACTTGCATAATGGTTAGTAATACTGATTATTATTATTAAGAGTATAACATTCTTTTTTCATGAATCTTTTTTGATTCTTTTCCATACCCTTGGGGTTTAGCCGGAGGCAGGGTGCTATATCAGAGCCAGAGTGAATCAGGACGTCACTCGTATCATCTCTCTCAGATGCACAAAGGCCGACAGCTCCAGCTCTGAGTCCAGTGAGGAGGTGAGTGTCAACATAAATTTGTCTTTATTTCACCAGGAGCATCCAAACATTACCATGAGAAGATACGCACCAAAATGTAAGTGTCTAGTAAACAAGCAAGAAGGGCTAGAAAGAAAGTGCAGTAAATATAATTGCATTAAAAACTATTCATTGATTATTGTGCAGAAGTATGTAACCTATGTCAAGCATAGTTAAATATACGGAATAATAATGTTTACATATAGTGCTTATGTAAATTTTATTTTCATTTTAAGTAAACTAATTTACATTTTGAAATACATGACTAAACAATGAAGTAATTGCTGATAACTTCTTTCCGCCAACAGGGGGGGTTAGGATTATACTACGATTTAAATCATTTTGGGACTAGAGGTAAATAAACTTGTCATCTTTCACACTTGCATATTTGGCATATTAGTATTGTGATCACAATGTTAATAATGCTTTTGACATATTTGTAGACCGCACACATTCAACTTCAGCACCAAGCATTTTCATCGCTCCACCAATACGTGCGGGTCATCATGACAACACTGAAACCAACCATGTTCGTGGAGACCATTTCGACAATCACCTGCCATATCACTGAACTGCTGGATGAAATCACATGAAGACTCTTCATACAAACATTAAGGTGCTACAAACAAAGCTAAATGAAAAGACTACTGTACTAAGGGCCAATAACTGCAGCCTCCACTGAAACATGAAACAAAATTATTCACTGTATGTGATATGAATACGAATACCTGCTGGCATTAACCTCCACAATAAAACCAATAAAAACCAGAAACAAGGATGATATCAACATGTATAATTTCATTTAAAATTACACATTTTGCAGAGGGATATGCAGAGCATGATGTTCATTGACCTTTGATGGATCATGACCAGATACTTTAATAATTTAATATTAGCTTCAGTTAGTCACTTCTCAACAACCTGAAAAGTTTCATGATATTGTAAATACATTCAATAAACAATTTTTTCAAAATGAAATGTGGACATGCGTTAATATGCATAATTGTTTGTACATATGCCAAGTTATAGGTGCTCACTGTAAGATTATGAAGTTGCACGTCATGTCTGAATGGTGAAAATAAGCCAGAATCCTTCAACAAGTAAAACCTACAGGGAAACCGAACTTCCTAATGGCCTCTTTTTATAAGATGAGAATATTTTGATCAGTTGTTTGATACACGTGTTCTAGAATTTTAAGGCATGGCTGTATTCATGAGCCAATAATACAGGTTATAATACAGGATATAAGATAAATCTATGTGAATAATGATTGTGTCATTCAGTCACATGACTTAAAAGTCCATCTCTTCATAGATGAACAATTTGTAAAAGTCAGCTTGAATGTTCACTAGAGGACGTAAGGACCAACAAGTAACAGCAAGGCAGTCATTTGTTTTACCTAGACAAAGATACTGCAGCAAATGAGAATATCTACAATTTAAACAGGTCTAATAAAAAAAAAAGCAAACATTCCACAGTCTCACAGATCTAGACATTGGGGCAACTCCCTGAACAACAGGTCCTTCATGTTACAGTTTTGACAAATACAACTAAAATGCACTTAGTGGCTCAAAGAGCAATAGTGATCAAGATCCGTTCTAGATGCATCCATTGAGCACTGGATCTGCCACATAAATGGTCAAAGTTGTGCCAAACTAATATACCAGCCAAACACACTGCCTAATTCAACCTACCTATCTAAAACTCCTCAAACATCAATAACCATCCAACCATTTAAAAAACTTCCATCTGAAATAACAATCTCTTCAGATTATTAAATAATCGATAATATAAAAACAACATGAAATCAAAATTTAAAATCCCACCCAACCCCAAAGTTCAAAATGTTTGTCTTCCCAAAAATCAATAAGATTAACAGTTTAATGTAGTTTTGTCTTCCATGCAGTACCAAGGTGTTGAAGGTGGAATCACTCAGTTGTTTGGAACTGGAACTGATGCACTGTCACAAAGTCACAGTAAAGCTGAAACTTCTTGAGCGGTTTTGTACAGAAAAAGCGGAGCATACCAACAAAATGATGGCTTCAATGAGACATGTAAATAGCAAGCAAGAGTAAAAGTTGCAGTTTTCTCAGTTTGTGAGTTTGGTGCTGTGGTCCCGCTTGGGTGGGGCAGGAGGAGGCCCTCGCCGTAGCGTTGCATAGCCTGAGATATTCCCGGACATGAAGCCACTACCACTGTGTCTCTGTTGATCATTCAGAAGCTCAGGTGGAGGTGGTGGCAAAGCCATGTCATCCATTGTGGCCACAGGGTCCACTTTGTCTCCAGAGACTCGTGAGGACTTGCGTTTCAGTGTCTTGTTAAGGTCCTCCAAGAAGTTTGGCTGCGTGGTGCCTTTAGGAGAAGAAGGGGGAATAGGGCCCCCTTGTATGGAAGGTGGTGAGAGTGGTGGAGGCTCTCTAATAGAGTTGTTACAGCGAATTGATGCTGGAGGTTGCGTCTTTTTCAGTGAACTCTTGCCCCAAGCAGGCTGGGGCTGAGGATTGACCACAGCCACTTTCGGAGACAAACCATTTGGATCACCTGGAAGGGGCGGTGGTGGAGGGAGGTCAGACTCCAGTGGGGGAGGGGGGAAGATGTCATTTTCTGGGGGTGGAGGGGATGGGAAGTCTGCAGTGGATTGGCGGTTCTGATTCAATTTGTTCTGCAAAGCCAAAGGAAGATTTGCCAGATTGAGCTTTCCTGGTTTGGGGGGTGCCCGAGGACCTGTGGAAAGCTCTTTGGAGGGTGAGCTACTGGAGCTTGATGTCAACGATGAACTAGGGTTAAACTTGCTCCCCAAGTTCCTGCGGGATTCCTTATACTCCACCGAGACATTGTACTTCACACTGGAGTTGCACTGAGGTGTCGGTGGAGGTTTCCTGACGCCCGCAGATGAGCCAGAAGGGGACTTCCTGATAGGGGAGCCTGACACTGGAGGAGGAGGGGCCTTCACTACAGGTAGGGACTGGGGAGCTTTGTGACTTTGAGACTCCGTTTGATTGGCCATTGCAGGAGACGCAACAGGAAACTGGCTAGCAAGCTGCTTAACCAGAGATGGCACTGATGAGGTTTGGTTGGAGAAGGGTAGTGTCTTGGAGATGCTGTGCGAGGAGGTGGGGGTGGGGGAGGTGGTGGGGGTGCTGGAGCTACTGGGGATACTGGAAGAATGCCATACGAAGGTTTTGGTGCTGTCTGAGGTGGAAATCCACCAGAGAATGTTTTGGGCAAAACTGCAGGTTGAATTGGCAGCTGCATGGGGGCTGGTGGAGGTGGTGGAGGAGGTGGTGGTGGTGGATTTGGAGCTGTAGCAATATGCTGTTGGCGAGGGAGTGTAGGTGCTGATGGTGGCAGTGGTGGAGGGGGGGGAGGAGGAGGAGGAGAATTGATCTGATTGGCCTGGGGTATTATATCCTGGGGGACATTGGGAAATTTGTGGGCAAGGACCTTCTTGAGTCCATTGGTTATGAAAGGTGCCTGTACTGTCGAGGATGGTGGAGGAGGGGGAAGGCCATTAGCCTGAAGAGGGGGTGGAGGAGGTGGTAAAGGCTGTGACTGCATTGGCATTATGGGAGGAGGAGGTGGTAAAGGCTGTGACTGCATTGGCATTATGGGAGGTGGAGGAGGCGGTAAAGGCTGTGACTGCACGGGCATTATGGGTGGAGGAGGTGGTAAAGGCTTTGACTGCATTGGCATTATGGGAGGAGGAGGTGGTAAAGGCTGTGACTGCATTGGCATTATGGGAGGAGGAGGTGGTAAAGGCTGTGACTGGATTAGCATTATGGGAGGAGGAGGTGGTAAGGGCTGTGACTGCATTGGCCTTATGGGAGGAGGAGGTGGTAAAGGCTGTGACTGCATTGGCATTATGGGAGGAGGAGGTGGTAAAGGCTGTGACTGCATTGGCATTATGGGAGGTGGAGGAGGCGGTAAAGGCTGTGACTGCACGGGCATTATGGGTGGAGGAGGTGGTAAAGGCTTTGACTGCATTGGCATTATGGGAGGAGGAGGTGGTAAAGGCTGCGGCTGCATTGGCATTATGGGAGGAGGAGGTGGTAAGGGATGTGACTGCATTGGCATTATGGGAGGAGGAGGTGGTAAGGGCTGTGACTGCATTGGCATTATGGGAGGAGGAGGTGGTAAAGGCTGTGACTGGATTAGCATTATGGGAGGAGGAGGTGGTAAGGGCTGTGACTGCATTGGCCTTATGGGAGGAGGAGGTGGGAAAGGCTGTGACTGCATTGGCCGTATGGGAGGTGGAGGCGGTAGAGGCTGTGACTGCATGGGCATTATGGGAGGATGTGGTGGAGGTGAGGGGGGAGGAGAAGGGAAGGACTGTAAAACTGTTGCTGGGGCTGGAGGACCAAGCTTCAAAACAGCCATGGCTGATCCAGGTGGAGGCATTGAGGCAGGTGGAGGTGGAGGAGGAGGGGGTGGGATGTTAGCCCCTGGTGGAATATTGTTCGATTGTGGTTTGGAGGCCGGTGGGACTGGTGGCACTTGCTGCTGGACTTGAGGCGGAGGCTTGTGGTGACTTGTGGCCTGAGAGGCATTCTGCAGCCGAGTGATAGTGCTGTATTTGGCGAACATGGTAGGTGTGGCATGGTGGGGGATATTGGAAATAGGAGGAGGAGGAGGGGGTGGAGGAGGTGGTGGAGGAGGTGGCGGTGGTGGGGCTGGAGTTGCCTGGGGTGGTATTTGTGCTGGTGCCTGTATCGGTGTCTGTATTAGTGCCGGTGCCTGGGTGACACTTCCACGTGACTGTGGAATTGAATGTGGATGTGGCTGTTGCAGTGGGTGTGGATGCTGCTGTTGAGGCACATGATGAGAAGAATGGCTGCTATGGCTTGAATGGGTAGAACGCATTGATTCTGGCCTTGCCTAAACAAATATAAAAAAACAATAATAAATAAGAATATGTTATTTCTTAATTTAATATCCTTTAGGCCTTTAGTGTGGTTCATCTTAAGGGCGTTTCCCACTGAGCGCGATGTGAAAAAGTGAGGCGAATCGCCAACAAACATGCTTTCACACAGAGCACGAAATGATTGATCTTCTGCTAATTCACGCCTGCACTCTAGGTGGCGCCGACCAGCAATGCATTTTTCCTTAGATACGCATCTCATATATGGTCTGCTGCTCAATATACAGCATTAAATTAAGATAAAGTTTGGTTCTACACCAGAAACACAAACAATTTATAATTGCTTATAAGAATACATCTTAAAATATAAATAGAGGTACAATTAGCATCAAGCTACATTTGAAAATGTATGCGATTATTTATGTTTTTTGTTTAAAACCCACTTTAAACCATCATTGAGTGCTTGTAATAACTTCCGATTGAGCTCTAAAGTGGATTTTCATATTATAATAGCCAGGCATGCACTCTTTGTAATGTTTTGAACATGACATTTGCTTATCATTTGTCATAAACATCATTTATTGTTATAAAAATAGCATGAGCTGCATAAAACACATACAGAAAATATATTGTTAATCTTATGTCTGTTTGCTTTCATATTTCATGTATAGAAAAATGTTTCTCTCATTTTTTTCATACACTGAACAAAATTATAAACGCAACACTTTTGTTTTTGCCCCCATTTTTCATGAGCTGAACTCAAAGATCTAAGACTTTTTCTATGTACACAAAAGGCCTATTTTTCTCAAATATTGTTCACAAATCTGTCTAAATCTGTGTTAGTGAGCACTTCTCCTTTGCTGAGATAATCCATCCACCTCACAGGTGTGGCATTTCAAGATGCTGATTATTGCACAGGTGTGCCTTAGGCTGGCCACAATAAAAGGCCACTCTAAAATGTGCAGTTTTATCACACAGCACAATGCCACAGATGTCGCAAATTTTGAGGGAGCGTGCAATTGGCATGCTGACTGCAGGAATGTCCACCAGAGCTGTTGCCCGTGAATTGAATGTTAATTTCTCTACCATAAGCCGTCTCCAAAGGCGTTTCAGAGAATTTGGCAGTACATCCAACCGGCCTCACAACCGCAGACCACGTGTAACCACACCAGCCCAGGATCTCCACATCCAGCATCTTCACCTCCAAGATCGTCTGACACCAGCCTCCGGACAGCTGCTGCAACAATCAGTTTTGCATAACCAAAGAATTTCTGCACAAACTGTCAGAAACCGTCTCAGGGAAGCTCATCGGCATCTGGATCAGCGTATACGACAGCGTGTTCCAGTTCCTGACAGTATCCAGCAACTTCGCACAGCCATTGAAGAGGAGTGGACAAACATTCCACAGGCCACAATCAACAACCTGATCAACTCTACGCGAAGGAGATGTGTTGCACTGCGTGAGGCAAATGGTGGTCACACCAGATACTGACTGGTTTTTGGACTCCCCCCGGACCCCCCCAATACAGTAAAACTGCACATTTTAGAGTGGCCTTTTATTGTGGCCAGCCTAAGGCACACCTGTGCAATAATCATGCTGTCTAATCAGCATCTTGATATGCCACACCTGTGAGGTGGATGGATTATCTCGGCAAAGGAGAAGTGCTCACTAACAGAGATTTAGACAGATTTGTGAACAATATTTGAGAGAAATAGGCCTTTTGTGTACATAGAAAAAGTCTTAGATCTTTGAGTTCAGCTCATGAAAAATGGGGGCAAAAACAAAAAAGTGTTGTGTTTATAATTTTGTTCAGTGTATGTAATGGCAGGAGATATTATCCCATGATTGACAGATCTTGAGTGAACACGCTCTGACTCATAACACTCTCGCACGTGGAAGAAAACAGACAGTGCTCTTCAGATCACATTCAGTAGAGAATGAATAGAAATTATATTCTGTATAAAGAACATGTGAGGATAAATCTGTTCTCAGAAACCAATGATAACAAGAACTCAGCATCCTCTTCTCTCTCAGAATACTTCGGTATTTGTTTACATTGGTTTTCGAAACCTTTTGGGCAACAGCAGCTGCTCCGGGCACATGATCTTAGCTCAAATCTAATTGGATGGTCCGTTTCATCACGGAGCGACGAGGGAAAAAATCGACACACAGAACGAAAAAAAAAATCTTCGCTATTTTGCACCGCGAATGATTGCACCTGGTGTGAATAGTTCCATAGGATTTATTGTTTAGTTTTAAAAGCGTCATTCATGCCGAACATTCACGCCAAATTTTCGAGTTCAGTGTGAAAAGGCCTTTTCTCTGTGGTGTTTTATCAAGTGCCCATATAAAGAGATATATCTTTCCAGAGCAAGAGGATGGCTCACCTTTGTGCTCTCTTCTATTTGCGTCCCTCTCTTCCAGGCCTCAGAGAAGATTGAACTGACTACACTCTGGGAACGGGCATGGGAGGACGAAGTACCATCTGACAAACCACTGTCTGCTTGGCTAGAGTGGTTTGACTGTGATTCTTTAAGCACAAACAAATAAGCACAAACATCAGCTAACAACCTATACATATACAGTCACAAGACAGTAAAATCACTATTATGCCATGAAAGGAAAATGCTCCATAACTACCAATGCCTATGATATTTGAAGGGTTCAAGTGATCAGGTTCAAGTTACTCACCAGGTATACTGACTGAGCTTGTTCCCGACCTGATGCTGGTACTGGAGAGAGAAGACCAGTCATAGGCAGCTTCTGTGCGCTTTATGGCTTCCTGGTAGTTCACATACAATTGCTTCCCATACTGTGCATAAAACACATTCAATGAGGAAGTGATATAAACCCAACATATATACATATATATACATACACGGTTGAAGATTAAGCAATTTCCAACATGAGCTCTGGTTTTAAATTCCTTTTTAAATACAGAAGAGCTTTTGTTATATAATTAATGTGGCATATTAGTTAGTTTCAGAAGAACATGTTTTGAGGTCACAGGGTTCATTAACTGAACATAAAACATGACTATAGGAAGCTATGGGATTACCTTAGCAATACGAATGCCATTAACCCACTGGTGTAGAGTTCTGACATCATCACAGCACAGGTATTTGATATACTGTGACTTCTTCTGTATCTGAGGGTGCTGTGGGCAAAATCAACAATATTACCAAGACATTGAAGACAACAATGGTTCAATAATTTTTTGGGGATTGCTAATACTAATGAACCACTAGAGGGCAGTAACAATGGTTTAGTCAATGTGCATAATGCAAAGCCATCTGTTACACAATCACACGTGAGTTGTCCATATAGTTAGCCACCTGTCACCCAACCTGTTTTTAAATTTAGCTGAAAGGGGTCATATGATGCGATTTCAATTTTTTCCTTTCTCTTTGAAGTGTTACAAGCTCTTGGTGCATAAAGAAGATCTGTAAAGTTGCAAAGACTAAAGTCTCAAATCCAAAGAGATATTCTTTATAAAAGTTAAGAGTCAACCACGCCTACCTAAAACGGCTAATTCTAACACGCCCCCACATGTCTATGTCACGATGTGGGAAGATTTGCATAACGCCGCCCAAATGTACAGCGAGAATAAAAGTTATGCCTTCTTTCTTTGCGTGACAAAGAAAGAAGGCGTAACTTTTATTCTCGCTGCAGTATTGCTGCCGCCGCCATGACGTGAAGTGTGTTTGTGTTCTGTGTGTTTTGTTGTGAAAGCGAAACTACTTTGTTTGGCCTTCCAAAAGAGGACGATATCCACTTCGTCATGCCTAGAGCTGATCCGTGCTGGTCGCTGAGGAAATACATCAACTTTGCGCTGTGGATCGCCGGATCGGCTTTCACCGTGGACGAAGTAGAGTCCAGCCCGAGGTCGTCACATGTGGCTGCCGCAAGCCTGCTCGCCGCTCACTCAGGCCCGCCGGCCTCCGCTCACTCTAGCCCGCCGTGTGAAACTACTTTGTTTGGCCTTCCAAAAGAGGACACGACTAGAAATCAGTGGTTAAGTTGTATTTACAACACTGTTCCAGAACAGTTCAACCCAAATATTCAGATGTGTGCATTGCATTTTATGGAGTACCGTTTCCTGATCCTGGAAGAGTAGACTACAATGCTGGCTGTTCTGACTCACAGACTGCAAGTACGTTTTCATTTTAAAGATTTGCCACTGATGATTCAAACGCGAGTTTTGAGCAGCGTAGGGTAGTGCTGGTTGTTTGTCATTTCTCCGATCACAAATGCAGACATGGTTTTATGTTTATGCAGCGAGATGCAACGCAACGCGAAAAAAAGACAGTACAAATCATTATAATCCGTAATTATGTCCTCACTGGATGCAACAAATGCCTAGTTTATAATGGGTTTTAATGTTTTTGTCTCGTCGCTCTGGCCGGGACACGCCATCACAGTATGGTAAGGGGTGTAACATTTCCGTCACACGCTTGAGGTATTCGGCCAATCACAATGCACTAGATAGCTGGCCAATCAGAGCACACCTCGCTTTTCAGACCGATGAGCTTTGTAAAAATCGATGCGTTTCAAAAAGGCGGGCCATATAGGAGAAACAATAATGTACAGTATGTGGAAAATAATGTGTTTTTGAACCTTAAACCGCGTAAACACATTTCATTACACCAAATACACAAAATAATGTTGTTTTTAGCAACATCATATGACCCCTTTAAAAAAAGCTCACAGATGTAGCCTATTTATATTTGTGAAAATTGACAGGAATCAATACATTTCCAATGATATACCAGAAATTCAACATTTTAACATTTTATTTGATTTTATTCTTGGATGCTATAATGTGTAAAATGTCTGAGTGGACAGATTTACTTTATTAGCTGCTAAGGTTCGAGAGATGTTCTGATATTCACTATTATTCAAATGACTGGAGTCTGTAAGAATTTTTAAAAAGTTTTTGAAAGAAGTCTCGTAAGTTCACCAAGGCTGCATGTAATTGATCAATAATACAGTAAACTGTAATAATGTGAAATATTATCACAATTTAAAATAACTGTTTTGTATGTTATGTACCACAATCTGTCAAGCACATCTTACCAGCAAACTTACTTCTCCAAACTCATCCTTTCTAATCATCCTACTACTTGTCCGCTTGATCCTATTCCATCTCATCTCCTTCAAGCCATTTCTCCTGCACTCACTCACATCATTAACACGTGTCACACTGGTGTTTTTCCCTCAGCATTTAGACAGGCTCGTATAACCCCACTACTTAAGAAACCCTCCCTTAACCCATCTCTTTTAGAGAACTACAGACCGGTTTCCCTTGTTCCTTTCATTGCAAAAACACTTGAACGAGCTGTGTTCAACCAAGTCTCTGCCTTTCTCACACAGAACAACCTCCTCGACAGCAACCAGTCTGGTTTCAGAAGTGGACATTCAACCGAGACTGCCTTGCTCCCAGTTGTTGAAGCCCTGTTGAAGCAAGAGCAGATTCCAAATCTTCAATACTTATCTTGTTGGATCTGTCTGCTGCTTTTGACATGGTTAACCACCAGATCCTCCTGCCAACCCTATTGGCAAAGGGCATCTCAGGAACCGCACTCCAGTGGTTTGAGTCTTACCTCTCAGATAGGTCCTTCAAGGTATCTTGGAGAGGTGAGGTGTCCAAGTCGCAACATCTAACTACTGGGGTGCCTCAGGGCTCAGTTCTTGGACCACTTCTCTTCACTGTCTATATGGCATCACTAGGTTCTGTCATTCAGAAACATGGATTTTCATATCACTGCTATGCTGATGACACTCAACTCTACCTCTCATTCCATCCTGATGACCGACGATAGCTGCTCGCATCTCAGCTTGTCTAACAGACATTTCTTGATGGATGAAGGACCATCACCTTCACCTCAACCTTACCAAGACAGAACTGCTTGTGGTTCCATCAAACACATAATTTCATCACAATTTCACCATCCAGTATAGGCACATCAACCATAACTTCTTCAAAAACAGCCAGAAATCTTGGAGTTATGCTTGATGATCAGCTGACTTTCCCAGACCACATTGCTAAAACTGCGGGTCCTGCAGATTTGCTTTATTCAACATCAAGAAGATCAGGCCCTTTCTTTCGGAACATGCTTCACAACTCCTTGTTCAAGCTCTTGTTATGTCCAGAATTGACTATTGCAATGCTCTCTTGGCAGGTCTTCCAGCCAGTTCTATCAAACATTTACAATTAATCCAGAACACAGAAGCAAGATTAATTTTAATGAGCCGAAAAGAATGCATGTCACACCTCTGTTTATCAATTTGCACTGGCTATCAATAGCTGCTCGCATAAAATTCAAGGCATTAATGTTTGCCTACAAAACTACCACTGGCTCTGCACCCCTGTAGCTAAATTCATTACTTCAGACTTATTTGCTCCCTAGAAACTTGCATTCTGCAAGTGAACAGCGCTTTATTGTGCCATCCCAAAGAGGCACAAAATCACTTTCACTGACTTTTAAATTAAATGTTCCCTCCTGGTGGAATTACCTGGCCTACTCAATCCGAGCAGCTGAGTCCTTAGCCATCTTCAAGAATAGGCTAAAAACACATCTCTTCCATCTTTATTTGACCCTCTAACTCTAGCACTCCCTATTCTAATTCTATTCTTTAAAAAAAACATGTCCTTTTAGACTTGCACTCTATTCATTACTGCTTGTTTTCGTAAAAAAAAAATCTAACACTAGCTTGATCTATTCTTTTTCTAATCTATCCGTTTTCTTTTTATTTATTATATAATTTAAAAACCTTGCTATGTGTACTGCGTTAAGCTAACTGAGACTTGTTATAGCACTTGCGTATCATTGCTCTTTTGTTGATTTTGATTGCTTCCTTTGTCCTCATTTGTAAGTCACTTAGGCTAAATGACTAAATGTATGTGAATATATTTTAAAATGTAATTTATTCCTGTGAAGCAAAGCTGAATTTTTCAGATGCCATTACTCCAGTGTTCCCATAAGAAACATGTCTTATTGTTATCGATGGTGAAAACTGTTTTTTTTCCTTAACATTTCTACAGCAGTTGCATTTTATCTGGATTCTTTGATAAATAGAAAGTTTAAACGATTTAAAAGAGAATTTTTTTGAAACATCATTTGTCAAAAAAATAATTTGTAACATTACAGATGTCTTTACTGTCACAACTGATCAATTGAATGCATTCTTTTTTAATAAAAGTATTAACTGTTTTCCAAAAAAGGCCCCAAATATTTGAAAGGTAGTATATAAACCATTTTTATAAAAGGTAACAGTCAACAGTGCACATCATTTACACTGGCTAAAGTACAAAAAGCCATAACATCACACACACCTTGAGGGCCAGGCAGTAGTCAGTGGGGGCCTTGTACTTGCTCCGGTAGTCCTGACCATAATAAACATTAACATGGTCCAACTGCAGGAAGCACACCAAATCCCTTGAAGCCTACAGTGATCAAATTAAACATTAATATTGTATTCCTATTTATTACTGTCTGTCAAATTTGGATTGTTTTTTTCTTTATAGCTTACAGTGATTGAATCTGAGATGATAAAGGCAAACATTTAGAAAAATAATACTATATACTCATGGTACCAAGCAGAAGTAAATACCCAGGATCAACCACAAGAGGATATCAGTGAGTCTGTGCAAAAGCATATTACAGACAGACAAGCCCATGTCCTTAAATGTCAGAGAATTTAATACTAACACAAAACAATTGTTCATATGTATGCTTGTGACTGACTTGAAATTGTATAAGAACATGAATATTGCATAAGAAAATAAGGCATGGGGTTCTCTCTGGGAATTAAAGTCCCATGATTTATTGTAAGTAGACAAACAGCATATGGTTTGTGTAGAGTATCCTCAGTGAATACATAAACAGGAAATTCCACTCGAGTTTATTAAGTTCTGTGCCCATTTAATGGGAACATAACACCAAATCACATGATAAAACAAAAATAAACAAACAATATCACTGACCTTGGCTTTGCCCTTCGGCACAAAATAGATGCCAGATGCCCTCAGCAGAAAGTAGCGCTTCTTCCAAGACTTTTTGCCATCCTCCTTCAACCACAACACTCCCTCAATTTCAGGAACAGACACTGAGCTTCCACAAAAACATTCCTTCAAAACATACAGATACAAAATACATCATTATATGGTCAAGCATTCTGAAATTTTATCTTGACAGATATAGACAGCTGTAAACTCTGTCGGACATCACAATCAACACTTTAAAATTAACATTGATAAAGGCTTTGGGTCACATTAGTGTGTATGTATTTGGAATTTGCATGTTAAACAAGGAAAGCAAAAAATGCACAGCAGGCAATAAGAGGTTAGGCTAGTTAGTCTAGGCCTTTATAAAAGGTGTTTGAGATTTTCTGAGTGGGATAGTTGGTTTAATTAAAAATGTACCATTGCAATATGATATCAATCTATAATTTGTATTATAATGTGTAATTTACCTCCAGCAATGCCTCCTTGTTTCTGTCTGCCATCTCAGAGGTCTCCTTCCTCCCAAGTAAATAGTTCTTAAAAACATACACAACATGCAACAAGTGAATCAGGGTGACAACATAAAACATAAAAAGAATCATAGCTCATTACTATTACTTGAAACCTATATTTAGATCAGAGTGTGTACATACGCACTAGTGTCTAAAAGTTTAGGTTCTGTAAAATTTCATTTGCATTTATTTGATCAAATATACAGTAAAAACAGTAATTTTGTGAAATATTACTGCAATACATTATTGAAAATGAAAAGCTGAATTTTCAGCAGCCACAACTTTAGTCTTCAGTGTCACATGATCCTTCAGAAATCATTCTAATATGCTATTTTTCTGCTTAAGCAAAAATGTATTATTATTGAAGTTGAAAAGTGTTGTGATGCATGCATATTTATGGGGGGAAAACTTTTTTTAAGGACTTTTTGAAGAATAGAAAGTTCAAAAGAACATTTTATTATTGTTATTTTTTTGTAAAATTATAGACATCTTTACTGTCACTTTAGATCAAATGCTGCAACTTTTTGAAACTTCCTGAATAAATAGGGTGACCATATGGGTCATTTTTACGGGACGCACCCTTGCCAGGATTTCTATATTGCCTAAAATATCCAGGTTTTGGCTGTTTGCACTGTGCAGATCGATCGATGTATGACATTATTTCACTAGAGCTATAGAGAGCAGAGCAGATGGCTCCTTATGCTTTCAAATCGCTCTCGCGGTACTTTGGTGTCATACAACGATCGGTGCACAGCTTCAAGTCGAACAAATGAACAAACAAAGACGTGCGCATATTTGCATCGCTTTGATCGGTCTCACCTTCTCACGCGTGACACGCCACGATTGGTCGATTATGTACAACACCTGCATGTTATTGGTCAAACTACTTTGGATGTTTTAGGCAATAGAAAAATCCTGGCCAGGATGTATCCCGTATAAATGGCACATATGGCCACCCTATGAATAAAAGTATTTTTTACCAAAAAACCCCCCCAAAAAAACATACTGATCCCAAACTTTTGAACAGTAGTGTACATTGGGGTTTTAAAAGTGTCAAAATGTTTCTAATTTGGCTACTTCTAATTAAGTAGTGACTTAATAATATTTGTACCTATGTTTAAAACAGATTTTGAATCCGTTTAATCAGAATTTTTTTCTGTATATGTCACAAAAAAAGAGCTTCACCTGTGGATTTTTGAAAAGTGCATACTTTTCAATCCGTTCAATGAACATGAGTTTGTTTTGACTGTCTCTGGTCCAGTTGAGCAAGTTCTCCACCAGGTTCTCATGGTCTTCAAAAATTCTCTCTGAGGAAAATGATTGAAAGAGTGAGCGAGAATGATAAGGCACAAACTCATAATCTTATTGTCCCTCAGGTTCACAGGATATCTAAGCATGTGCATGTGTCCTCACCCATCTGTAGCTCAGGGATGGTCTCAACCAGGGCCCAGTCCGGACTGTAACCGCAGTGAGATTTATCCAGCAGACTGTCCAGCACCTGCCTGACCGTCTGCCTCTCATCCACCATCATGGTCTTTGAGCTCTCATCTGACATGTGTACACGTATCACCAGCTGATGAAGAAGATTAATAGAAAAGGAAAGTTTGGTTCATTCCAGTACATTTAATATTGAATACAGCTATATTTACACATGCATTTTCAAGGAAAGTCACATTCTGTAGATAAATATACAGTACATTATACCTACATATTAATTTGTTTTTACTAAAATAAACAAAAAAATGACTGTTTAATAACTTTCCTTGAAATGGATAAATTGAATGGGATAGAGAAAGAAAAGTAGCTAACAAGTGGCCTGTAAACAGTCACCAATACTGTTTGAAAATCATCCCAGGATGCATCTCATGATGGTTGGTTTGGTCAAGCTGGTTGCCAAAATACCCAGAGTTTATTCCCAAGCTATCTGTAATCTAACCAAAGGTTGGCTACTTTGAATAAACTACAATAATCGAGTACAGTTACACATGGCAACCTGCCAAATGCAGTAAAAATCAACTGTGGGAGTAGATGCCAGGTTATGATTTATATAGTATGTTCCATCACTTTTTATTTAAATTAAACTCTGTTCTATCTCTAGGAGGAGCCTTTAACATTAGCAAAGCAGCACAACAGTGAAGAGACTTTTTCAGTCTGTTCTCACTGCCTAGGCATATGATAAATTCTACATTTCCAAGACTTTTGTGCACCACTATACAGTCACCAAAAGCACACTTTATCATCTTTACTGTAAAACTGCCAGAAAATCAGCTGTTTGCAATGAGAAACACAAGCCGTCAATATATTGACATGAAGAGCATGGGAATGTTATCATCATGAAATTACTTTGGAAAACAACTGATCAATTTATGAAATGCTAATCTTCAACATGGTTTATCATCAAACATTTATTTTGAAATGAGCTAAATTTGGAATTTCCAACAAAATAAAGGTTGCTTTTTAAGAGCAATCACTGAGAATTTTCTAACAAACAGTTCAGTTTATGGCACTACTCTTTCGTTTCTTCAGAATTGAAATAAATATGCTGAAATCTAAGCAGTGACTCATAAAAACATGTTTGTTTCTTATATTTTTGTCATGGCTAATAAAACTTCTGGTAACACTTAGTATAGGGACCAACTGCTTATTAGCATGCCTATTATTAACATGTTGGCTATTTATTAGTACTTATAAAGCACATATTCTGCATGACCATATTCTACATCCCTAATCCTACCCAATACCTAAACTTAACAACTACCTTACTAACTATTAATAAGCAGCAAATTTGTAAATAGCGAGAATTGGAACTTAAAATATAAGTGTGACTGAAGTTCTGGCCAGTTACTTACAAATGTAGTAGCCAAACTGAGTGAGTGAAAAAGTTCAACTCTGGATATAATGGAGTTCAGATTTGTTTTGATTTGTTGTTTTTTGGTGACTACATAAGTCCCATAAAATGAAATACATATTAACATCATGGTTTGCTTTGGTGCTGTCTTTTAATCAGTTTTGACATATTTAAAAGTTTTAAACGGAATCAAATAAATGGCTGTAACTAATTCAAGAAAAACATGGCATGCATCTAAAACTTGTTCTCTTGTTGGGATATTATATAGAAGGAAAACAATAATAATTAGTACAGTGTGTTACACATATGTTGTTCAAATCGGAATGTTTGGCTCAAAGATTTATATTGACTGAATTGGAATATGATGTGGATCTTCAGAAATGTGGCTTTAATAAAGACTAATTGGGAACAGGAATGACAACTGGCTTTCATCCCTCTTTATTTCACACCCCATGTTCTTTCTTCTTGAGAGTGAGGAATGAAGAGAAGGGATAGAGAAAGTGTTGCATAGGCACATTAACAGAAAGCCCTGCCAGAGGTCCTGAAAGCCATCAGAATATTAGGGAGCATGTGGCACTTTTCCAAGCCTGGCCTCAGCAGAAAACACGCTGCTAATTTATGCTCTCTTCCCTCTCACACATATGCTCCTACAAACATGCACTTTATGACATATCTTGCCTGCCTCATTCTTTGACCTCAGCACAATCAACCCATCACATTGTGCAATAATAGTTCAATTGAATGAAACAATTGAGTACAAACTCAGAAACGTAACAAAACTGACACTGATAAATGCAGGAAAGGCTTATTTTGACAGAACAATAACTAATTTCAAGCCAAATCACTGACTAAACTGAGTGTGACATTTTTTTTTTTACTTTGCTTCAGTCTGCAAAATCATTTAACATTCACTACATACATTTTTTATAATAAGGATACACACTCAGGGGTCCCAAGATCTGAGACCACTTGCAAAAAGTTATTATTTTTTTCTTTCTTTTTCTTTTCAATATACAAATTATATCATCAGCTATTTGAATGAAAAGTTGAGTTGTTATAGATTCCACAAGTGCAAAACCTGCCGATCATTGTTATCCAGCATGATATGAGAATGTTCTGAAGATCGTCTTGGGTTTTATAAATGGAAGAAACGCTGACCTTTTATTGAGTTAAAATGGTCAATGTCATACATTCGCTTTTTTCAATGTTACCTTTATTAGTTTTTTTTTTTTATATATATTTTAAACTTTTTTTTTTTTAATTCTGAAATCTCTCATTTCCAGCTTTTCATTTTCAAAGGGGTCGCAGACTTTGGGCCCACTGTATATTATTAAATTCTGTTTTTTTATTATTATTTAAAGTGCATTTGACGCAGTATCATTCCGTATCAGTCTCGCTGCACCATTGCTGCTCAATGCTGTCAGTTTTCTCGAAACACACAATGAATGGAAACAGTCTCAGCTACAGAGGCCCAATCACTGTACTGTGTCTAATTCATTCACTTGGTATTAGTATGTGCCTGGTGGCATCTATTGACAGTGACAGTGCTTTTCAGATGAATAGTGTAATAGTATAGATCGTCTCTCAAGAATTAACACAAACCTTAGACCAGTTTAAACAGCAATAACACAATGGCATTTTTTTAACAAGTAATTTGAAGCAAAAGCCTCACCGACATTTTGTTTGTGCATCTTCCCTTCTAAGCAGACAGAGACTCACAGACACATGAGTGACCTATTTTCTACTGTGCATTCATTCTGAATTCTCCAGCTCGAGCGTGTGAAGGGCTACATCATGCAGTGAAAGAAGAGGTTTACTGACCCTTCAGATCAGAGATTCACAGGGGCTTTTACTCACCTTTTTAACCTGGGCTTCTTTAATTTTCTCTAGCGCCACACGGATTTTCTCAGCCTTCGCTTTGGCAGCCTGTTCCTCCTGTGAATGACACAATGACATGTTAACAAAGACACACACTCCCATAGTATTCCACCAACAGTCTGCTAGTAGTGTCATCCATTACTGAGGTATGAAATCAGACAGGTGGATTTCTGTTTTACACTTACCTGCCCTCTCCAACATGCAGTCATCACATCCATTCTGACCTTTTAAAGCAATCCCTAAACCCTTGCAAAGTCTGATCAACCAGCAACACAAAAGGCAGTTACACGATCACTCCTGAACCATCGCTCATGTTAACGGTTCCTTAGAGAAATGGCTGTTCATACAAATTTTAAGAGATACACAGATTTGTACCAGCTCAATTGTTTTAGAAATCCATTAAATGAATGTTCTCATCACAAACGCCAGCTATGTCAAGGCCTGACAGGTACTTCCAGCTGAAGTTTCAGAGCTGCTGCAGAAATAACCTCTGATGAAAATCATTTAAACAATCCGAAAAATAAATCTAAGCTCAATTTGAAGGAGCGTAAAGTTGAAATGTGCATTGGCCGCGACACACAGATGAAACCGCTTCCCCTCAAGTATCTTTACACCCAGAGTACCTTACACACAACTCTACTCCTCAACATTGGGAGGGATTGAGACCTCCCCCTCTCTTCACTGTCTCTCTCCCTCTCTGTGAAACAGCTGCATGTCTCTGGTAGCGTGCCCAATCACAGGGTTTAATCCCCCTCACCAGTAGACCAAGCCGCCATCAGCTATAAAAGACCCTCTCGTACCTCTTCTCCAATCGGAATGTACATATAATTCTCGGCAGCCAATCAGTGAGGTTCGTTTCTTTGACTTCCTTTGCACTAGCCAATAAAGCTGAGGCCAAATGTAGATGACATTGTTCTCTGATCCTTTTTCTGTGGTTGTGGAAAAACACCCTCCCTTTTTGGGGGTACCGTGGGGATGAATAATATCTAGGCCTTGTATTTATTGTTTTTCACATTTTAAAAAGGGGGGTTTTATAAGGATGAGGGTTTTAAGTGACACTGTGTTTAAGTCAACTTTGAATAGTATTATGTCATTTTTTTATAACAGGATGAGCAGGTTATGGGCTGATTAAGAAATACAAAGTCAGAGGCAGACAAATAAAGATTTCAATATGCAAAGTATATGCAATGAAAAGCATATAATGAAGAGGAAGGAAGGAAAAAAGTGTGGTATACGTGATATGAAAGGACAGTTTCTCTCTCTTGACTCACTATGGCAAATGCTCTTTCTCTCTGAAAGAGAATGGGAGAGTTCTGCAAACAGCCGAGGCAGAGGCTTCGATAAAAAGCATTAAATTCCCTTTGAAGTCTTTTCCCCTTTCTCTGGTTTTCTCTCGGTCTGTGTTTGAGCAGAGAGTCTGCAGTGAGCCCATCAATACACTGTTTGAGAGGTCTGATGAAATCATGAGGAAAATGTGGGATTTCAAGAACATTCCGCCTCAGTTTGTGTAAATGGATAATGACTTTGTCTAATGTCAGGACAAATAAATAAAACTTAGCTGACTCTGCTTTATTTAACAACAAAAAAAAGACTGATTCCTAAACAACGAAACATGGGATTGAAAATCAAACTTAAACAGTAATAAAGAAAAATCTTTAGGATTCTGAAAAATTCGTACAAAGAAACATTTTGGCGTAAAATTTGTGCTATTTCTAGGTCACAAGAAATTCTAGAAAAATTCTCAAATCATGTTGGAATATAACATAGGACACATTTTGCACAAACTTCAAGTACCAGTTCAAGTGGATGCTCTCATTAAAGTGAATGGGGATGCAGCAAAAACATCGGAATTGAATTCAAAATAGCTATTTCTGTAAAAAACGTCACATACATGTAAAACTTTAATTCAAAAGCTTACTATACTATAACAACAACCGGAGATAATGTTGTAATGCAGCACAATGAACTTGAGAAAATAATAAACCATATCAATTTGGCTGTAGCAGCTTCAAGGTTTAACAAAAGCTCACACAACCTTGAAAAATCAAAGTGGCGTCAGATTTGGATTCTTATTATTTAGCTCCACGTGAGAAAAGCACTCTTACCCACAATGCTCTGCACCTGCAAAGCGCCTTTGCTGGTATGACAACATGGGAATTACAGTCACATGCATAATAATAGCTGTTCTCAGGAATAAATTAAAAGCAAGAAGTTATTCAATATAGAGCCTTTGTTTGAAGCTAATTAATGCTTATTGGAAAACAAATGCATGGCTGTCTATGCTGCATGGCTAACAGCATTATTGAAGGGATAGTTCACACAAAAATGAAAATTCCGTCATTGATTACTTCCTCTCTATTCGTTCCAAACCTGTATGATTTTCTTCATTGTCTGTGAGAAAATTTTATGAGAATTTATTTATTAATTTTTACTATACAATGGAAATCATATACAACATTAAAAAAAAATCTTCTTTGTGCTCTGCAGAAAAAAAAGTCTTACAGATTTGGAACAAAAAAAGCTGAGTAAATAATAAAAAATATATTTTTGGCTAAACTATCCCTTTAAAATAATACTGTTTAACACACAAAAAGTCAAACTGTCTGAGACACCACTTTCACACAAAAAAACCATAAGAATAGGTAAATTGGTTTCAGTTTTATATAGTTCTTGAACTGAAATGGTCCTAAAATGAAATTATATAAGTGACGAACAGCCATTTCTTCAGGGACCCAGCGATAACTTTGATAACTCACCAAAGCATCAAACACAAACACAAAATGCAGACAAAAACCCAGAACCTCTTAACAAATCTGTTTTATATACTAAACACATTTCTTAACCGAGGTCCAAAAGGATATTCGTAACTTTAATACTTTACATATCTAAGCCTACACATACATATAAATATATATATACACGGTATATATATATATACACGATAACACCTTTCTAACCTTCAATCTGTGAATGCTAATAACTGACCATTATGAACTAGAAAATCTGACTTGAATGATTTTTTAAAGAATTTTAATTTACTAAATTAAATTAAATGTTAAAAACTTTACAAAATAAAAGACATAATACACAACCCAAGCCTTCTCTTCAGAGAGAGGTGCTATAGGTTGAAAGCATTAAGGAGGACAAAACATTATAGACACTTTTGACTGAATGATCTGATTTTTTCTTGAAATGGCTGCACACATATGAAGATGGCAGCAAAGAGAAAACAGGAGATATAGCACTTTAAAAAAGTAAGGCAGTGTGGGTGGAGCAAAGTGTCAAGTCTGGCAAGAAGACTGAGGTTAAAAGGCTTTCAGTGAAGAACCAAAATAAATCCAAAAACATGCAGAGAAAGGAAAAGAAGCAAGCGAAAGGAGGTGTCACCTTGGTCAGCAGGTGAGAGGGTTTTCCTGCAATGTTTTTCAGAATCAGAGAGGTCTCCCTGTCCAGATACGAGTGCTTTAGGGTGCAGGGAAAAGACAAACAGAGATTAATCAGTGCAATGATTACAGTGATGTCAAAAATGATAGAAATACATACTTGATTGTGGTAAAGCACAGAAAGTGTGGAAGCATTGCCTGAGCACTGATTATTCAAAATCAGAAAGAGGTGGCATATAAAAGTGTGGATGGAAAACAAATATATAAAAGAACTGTTTCGTATATAAAATATTGTGATCACAGATCTCTTTTAAAAGCCTTTTTGAAAAAAAAAAATAGTTCTTAAAAACATACACAACATGCAACAAGTGAATCAGGGTGACAACATAAAACATAAAAAGAATCATAGCTCATTACTATTACTTGAAACCTATATTTAGATCAGAGTGTGTACATACGCACTAGTGTCTAAAAGTTTAGGTTCTGTAAAATTTCATTTGCATTTATTTGATCAAATATACAGTAAAAACAGTAATTTTGTGAAATATTACTGCAATACATTATTGAAAATGAAAAGCTGAATTTTCAGCAGCCACAACTTTAGTCTTCAGTGTCACATGATCCTTCAGAAATCATTCTAATATGCTATTTTTCTGCTTAAGCAAAAATGTATTATTATTGAAGTTGAAAAGTGTTGTGATGCATGCATATTTATGGGGGGAAAACTTTTTTTAAGGACTTTTTGAAGAATAGAAAGTTCAAAAGAACATTTTATTATTGTTATTTTTTTGTAAAATTATAGACATCTTTACTGTCACTTTAGATCAAATGCTGCAACTTTTTGAAACTTCCTGAATAAATAGGGTGACCATATGGGTCATTTTTACGGGACGCACCCTTGCCAGGATTTCTATATTGCCTAAAATATCCAGGTTTTGGCTGTTTGCACTGTGCAGATCGATCGATGTATGACATTATTTCACTAGAGCTATAGAGAGCAGAGCAGATGGCTCCTTATGCTTTCAAATCGCTCTCGCGGTACTTTGGTGTCATACAACGATCGGTGCACAGCTTCAAGTCGAACAAATGAACAAACAAAGACGTGCGCATATTTGCATCGCTTTGATCGGTCTCACCTTCTCACGCGTGACACGCCACGATTGGTCGATTATGTACAACACCTGCATGTTATTGGTCAAACTACTTTGGATGTTTTAGGCAATAGAAAAATCCTGGCCAGGATGTATCCCGTATAAATGGCACATATGGCCACCCTATGAATAAAAGTATTTTTTACCAAAAAACCCCCCCAAAAAAACATACTGATCCCAAACTTTTGAACAGTAGTGTACATTGGGGTTTTAAAAGTGTCAAAATGTTTCTAATTTGGCTACTTCTAATTAAGTAGTGACTTAATAATATTTGTACCTATGTTTAAAACAGATTTTGAATCCGTTTAATCAGAATTTTTTTCTGTATATGTCACAAAAAAAGAGCTTCACCTGTGGATTTTTGAAAAGTGCATACTTTTCAATCCGTTCAATGAACATGAGTTTGTTTTGACTGTCTCTGGTCCAGTTGAGCAAGTTCTCCACCAGGTTCTCATGGTCTTCAAAAATTCTCTCTGAGGAAAATGATTGAAAGAGTGAGCGAGAATGATAAGGCACAAACTCATAATCTTATTGTCCCTCAGGTTCACAGGATATCTAAGCATGTGCATGTGTCCTCACCCATCTGTAGCTCAGGGATGGTCTCAACCAGGGCCCAGTCCGGACTGTAACCGCAGTGAGATTTATCCAGCAGACTGTCCAGCACCTGCCTGACCGTCTGCCTCTCATCCACCATCATGGTCTTTGAGCTCTCATCTGACATATGAACACGTATCACCAGCTGATGAAGAAGATTAATAGAAAAGGAAAGTTTGGTTCATTCCAGTACATTTAATATTGAATACAGCTATATTTACACATGCATTTTCAAGGAAAGTCACATTCTGTAGATAAATATACAGTACATTATACCTACATATTAATTTGTTTTTACTAAAATAAACAAAAAAATGACTGTTTAATAACTTTCCTTGAAATGGATAAATTGAATGGGATAGAGAAAGAAAAGTAGCTAACAAGTGGCCTGTAAACAGTCACCAATACTGTTTGAAAATCATCCCAGGATGCATCTCATGATGGTTGGTTTGGTCAAGCTGGTTGCCAAAATACCCAGAGTTTATTCCCAAGCTATCTGTAATCTAACCAAAGGTTGGCTACTTTGAATAAACTACAATAATCGAGTACAGTTACACATGGCAACCTGCCAAATGCAGTAAAAATCAACTGTGGGAGTAGATGCCAGGTTATGATTTATATAGTATGTTCCATCACTTTTTATTTAAATTAAACTCTGTTCTATCTCTAGGAGGAGCCTTTAACATTAGCAAAGCAGCACAACAGTGAAGAGACTTTTTCAGTCTGTTCTCACTGCCTAGGCATATGATAAATTCTACATTTCCAAGACTTTTGTGCACCACTATACAGTCACCAAAAGCACACTTTATCATCTTTACTGTAAAACTGCCAGAAAATCAGCTGTTTGCAATGAGAAACACAAGCCGTCAATATATTGACATGAAGAGCATGGGAATGTTATCATCATGAAATTACTTTGGAAAACAACTGATCAATTTATGAAATGCTAATCTTCAACATGGTTTATCATCAAACATTTATTTTGAAATGAGCTAAATTTGGAATTTCCAACAAAATAAAGGTTGCTTTTTAAGAGCAATCACTGAGAATTTTCTAACAAACAGTTCAGTTTATGGCACTACTCTTTCGTTTCTTCAGAATTGAAATAAATATGCTGAAATCTAAGCAGTGACTCATAAAAACATGTTTGTTTCTTATATTTTTGTCATGGCTAATAAAACTTCTGGTAACACTTAGTATAGGGACCAACTGCTTATTAGCATGCCTATTATTAACATGTTGGCTATTTATTAGTACTTATAAAGCACATATTCTGCATGACCATATTCTACATCCCTAATCCTACCCAATACCTAAACTTAACAACTACCTTACTAACTATTAATAAGCAGCAAATTTGTAAATAGCGAGAATTGGAACTTAAAATATAAGTGTGACTGAAGTTCTGGCCAGTTACTTACAAATGTAGTAGCCAAACTGAGTGAGTGAAAAAGTTCAACTCTGGATATAATAGGAAGGAAAAAAGTGTGGTATGTGTGATATGAAAGGACAGTTTCTCTCTCTTGACTCACTATGGCAAATGCTCTTTCTCTCTGAAAGAGAATGGGAGAGTTCTGCAAACAGCCGAGGCAGAGGCTTCGATAAAAAGCATTAAATTCCCTTTGAAGTCTTTTCCCCTTTCTCTGGTTTTCTCTCGGTCTGTGTTTGAGCAGAGAGTCTGCAGTGAGCCCATCAATACACTGTTTGAGAGGTCTGATGAAATCATGAGGAAAATGTGGGATTTCAAGAACATTCCGCCTCAGTTTGTGTAAATGGATAATGACTTTGTCTAATGTCAGGACAAATAAATAAAACTTAGCTGACTCTGCTTTATTTAACAACAAAAAAAAGACTGATTCCTAAACAACGAAACATGGGATTGAAAATCAAACTTAAACAGTAATAAAGAAAAATCTTTAGGATTCTGAAAAATTCGTACAAAGAAACATTTTGGCGTAAAATTTGTGCTATTTCTAGGTCACAAGAAATTCTAGAAAAATTCTCAAATCATGTTGGAATATAACATAGGACACATTTTGCACAAACTTCAAGTACCAGTTCAAGTGGATGCTCTCATTAAAGTGAATGGGGATGCAGCAAAAACATCGGAATTGAATTCAAAATAGCTATTTCTGTAAAAAACGTCACATACATGTAAAACTTTAATTCAAAAGCTTACTATACTATAACAACAACTGGAGATAATGTTGTAATGCAGCACAATGAACTTGAGAAAATAATAAACCATATCAATTTGGCTGTAGCAGCTTCAAGGTTTAACAAAAGCTCACACAACCTTGAAAAATCAAAGTGACGTCAGATTTAGATGCTTATTATTTAACTCCACAAGACAAAAACACCCTTACCCACAATGCCCTACACCTGCAAAAAGCGCCTTTGCTGGTACGACAACATGGGAATTACAATCACATGCATAATAATAGCTGTTCTCAGGAATAAATTAAACTCAAGAAGTTATTCAATATAGAGCCTTTTTTGTGGAAAACAAACGCATGGCTATTTATCCTGCATGGCTAACAGCATTATTATAGGGATAGTTCACTCAAAAATTTAAATTCCATCATTGTTTACTTCTCTTGTCGTTCCAAACCTGTATGATTTTCTTCTCTGTCTGTGAGAAAATTTTACGAGAATGTTTTTTTTTTTAACTATACAATGGAAATCATATACAAAACTGTGTGGTTATCAACTTTTACCTAAAATATCTTCTTTGTGCTCTGCAGAAAAAAAGTCCAATTTGGGAAAAAAAAAGTGATTAATTAATAACATTTTTATTTTTGTTTAAACTATCCCTAAAATAATACTGTTTATCACATTGAAAGTCAAACTGCTTGTGACCAAATATATTTATTAGTTTTAGACCAAAGAGAGTCACTAGACCTGAGTTCACACACACACACACACAAACAGAAACAGAAACAGAAACTAACTATACAATGGAAATCATATACAAAACTGTGTGGTTATCAACTTTTACCTAAAATATCTTCTTTGTGCTCTGCAGAAAAAAAGTCCAATTTGGGAAAAAAAAAAGTGATTAATTAATAACATTTTTATTTTTGTTTAAACTATCCCTAAAATAATACTGTTTATCACATTGAAAGTCAAACTGCTTGTGACCAAATATATTTATTAGTTTTAGACCAAAGAGAGTCACTAGACCTGAGTTCACACACACACACACACAAACAGAAACAGAAACAGAAACACAAACACACAAACACAAAATAGAATAGGTCAATTGGTTTCAGTTTTATATAGTTCTTACAATGAAATGGTCCTAAAATGAAACAAGTGATGAACAGCCATTTCTTCAGGGAACCAGAAATAACTTTGATAATGCAGCTCACGAAACAGAAACAGAAACAGAAACAGAAACACAAACACACAAACACAAAATAGAATAGGTCAATTGGTTTCAGTTTTATATAGTTCTTACAATGAAATGGTCCTAAAATGAAACAAGTGATGAACAGCCATTTCTTCAGGGAACCAGAAATAACTTTGATAATGCAGCTCACAAAACCCAGCACCTCTTTACAAACCTGTTTTACATACTAAAAATCACTGTTGTATTTAGGATACACTTAAATAATAATAAAGAAAACAATAAGGACGAAAATTATGTTCTTTACATTTGTAATGAAAAACACATAAATTCCTAAACATACTACTTAATCTCTAAGTCAATATACTACAGATAAAAAAACCAAAAAAAAACACCTGTCTAACCTACAATCGGAGAATGCTAACGGACCATTATGAACTGGAACACCTGACTTGATGATTTAAAAATAAAATAAAAAATCCTTCAAGTTAATAATAAATAAAAGACATAATACATAACCCTTGCTTTCTCTTCAGAGAGAGGTACTGTAGGTTGAAAACGGTTATAGACACATTAGGTTGGATGATCTGATTAAATCTGTGCACACATTAAGATGGCAGCAAAGAGAAAATAGGAGATATAGCACTTTAAAAATGTAAGAAGGCAGTGTGGGTGGAGAAAAGTGTCAAGTCTGGCAAGAAGACGGAGGTTAAAAGGCTTTCTGCAGAGAAACAAAATAAACCAAATACATGCAAAGAAAAGAAAAGAAGCCAGCGAAAGAGGCGTCACCTTGGTCAGCAGGTGAGAGGGTTTTCCTGCAATGTTTTTCAGAATCAGAGAGGTCTCCCTGTCCAGATACGAGTGCTTTAGGGTGCAGGGAAAAGACAAAGAGAGATTAATCAGTGTAATGATTACAGTGATTCCAAAAATTATAGAAATACATACTTGATTGTGGTAAAGCATAGAAAGTGTGGAACCAAAATCAGAAAGAGGTGGCATTATGTGAATGGAAAACAAATAAATAAAAGAAGAACTGTTTCGTATACAAAATATTGCGATCACAGATCTCTTTCTGAGAATAAACCTCTCCTGATATACTACAGTTTTCTATTGTGTCACCCAAATTATGACGTTTTGAAACCTGGAATTATCACAGCTATAATAAGAACCAGTATTTTGAGAATGAACATACTGTGTACACATATCCCCTGTCATGCACAAACACACTTACAGTACTTTGATCCACCTCTCCCTCCTGTGAGGTGAAGTCAAGATGCCGTCTGGTAGCTTTACCATTGGCCCTTCGCAGTGAGACATGCTGGGAAAAGGGGTGTGGGAAGCAGTGACATCACATACAGAAAAGGTGCAAACATAAACACATTAATCATGCAGCAGGCAATGCAAAACAAGGCATGCACAAGCAAGGGTCAATATATGCCACCACTCTTGTCTTAAAAACATGTTCTGGTTTAACAGAATCTAATTTCCTTCTAATCGACAGTATGTCACAGATACTATCGATTAGCACAGAAAGCAAATTGGACTTGTCCCTCATTTTACAGTATTATAAGTACAATGGGAGTCTATGGGGCATGTTGCATTTTTCCGAAAGGGATAGTTCATCCGTAAAATGAAAATTCTGTCATTATTTTCTAACCCTTATGTCTTTCTAAAACCATGTTTTAAATTCATCTTCAAAACACAAATGCTATTTTTAATATTCTCTAATCCTTTTCGTTTCATCCACTGAAAGTCCATGCAACCAAAATGTAGAATCTTTAAAACGTTTATAAAGACATTGTAAAGTAATCCATATGAATAGAGTGGTTTCAGGTCTTCTGAAGAGCCACGATTGCTTTATATGATGAACAGATTTAATTTAGTCTTTAATAGACATATAAATATTGATCGGTGCACATACACAGAGCACATCAAACATGGTAAACAGAAGCTCAATCGTACTTGCGCGATATATGAGAACAAACCTCACTAAATGATGAAAGAACATTAAAAATATCTTCATTCATGTTCTGAAGATGAACAAAAGTCTTGTGGGTTTGGAAGAACATGGGGGCGAGTAAATGATGACAGTTTTCATTTTTGGATGAACTATCCCTTTAAAGGGCTTGTACTAACTGTACAGTTCTCAGAGCGGTCATTTTAGTAGTGGGCCTATAGTTCTAGGTGGATGAACTTCTAGTTAGGCATTAACAGTGCAAATCCTATGGGTGTGAGGTTGCTTCATGTAAACAATCCTTTGCAGGTAGCAGGTAGCTAATCATGTCCCTATCCGTGCATAAAAAGTTACTGGCTTTATACTGAAGTTTGACTTTGCACAGAAAGTCTGTAAGCAATTTCATCATACTAGTTGTGTCAAATGTGCAAGACTAATGCGAGTCTTTGGCTATAATTTAGAAACAGTCTGCATTTAACATTTACTCTTGCCTTGCCAGATAGAATTCCATTTTCAGATAGTGCCATAGAGTTTTCCTTTTATTGAACATGACAAGGGTTTTCAAGCTTTACAGACCAATGGATCCATGCACCAATATAATAAAAAAGATCAGTATCATTTTTAAAAAGACTTTCATTAAAACATCATATAAATGTTTCAACAATCTCTATGTGTTTTATACTGTATATCGTCCCTGCAGTACCTTCATGGAGCCCCTGGGTCCACAGAGCAGTGGCTGAAAACCCTTGTTTCAAATTAATATAGATGACATTATAGAAGCTATGTCATCTGTTGCTCCTGTATAACTTTTTTTAGTGTAAGCATACAGTTACAAGCTGTTACCAAAACCAACACACCATGCATTCAAATAAGTTAGAGTTGCATAGCCATATAGCAGAGCAGGTGTTATTGTCACAATGTACTGTTTACACTGACCATAGACAGTACACTGTCTGTGTCTCTACATGTCACATAATAATGTCATGCAAGATTACGACAGCAAGATTTGTGCACACACTCTCCCCCTCACACATGAAATCCTATCACGTTGTTCCATCTGTGAAACAGCGCTAGTTTACATATGAAACCACAGTATGTATTTTTAGCAGAGAGAAGTGCTCGGGTCTGTACATCCTGGTGCAGATGAGCAGCACCGTGGTTAGAAGAGTGGCGTAGTAGCATTTCTGTTTTATTGCACTTATTGCACTTCTGTTTTATTGTCTTCACAGGTTCTGACAACAGTACTGAATAACTATAAAAGCTGAGTGTGTGTGCTTGAGAGAAACTGGTTGTAAATAAGTGTGTGTGAGAAGTATGTGGGTAGCCAAGAGATGACTCAGCTTGAATGATTTAATGCTGAATTCAGTGAAACCTCGATCATCAAATTTCCCAAAACCACAATACAGACTTTACCCTTAACAAAAGAACAAACATATTTTTAAATAATAATCAGCAGTTAAGTTACTACATGTACTGTTTTGTATATGCATATTTTTTAATAATAATAAGCAGTTAAGTTACTACATGTACTGTTTTGTATATTCATATTTTTAAATATTAATAAGCAGTTAAGTTACTGGGGTTATTGGGATGACCAACATCAATTAAACCACTTTTTATTAGGTGTGTAATGGTACACATATTCCTACCCAAAAATTGTGTACGCATGTGTAGCGAACAAATACAGCATTGTTTTAACCACTGCATGAGTGGAACTTTCAGTTTAGACTTTGTCTCTGATCAAAATTAACAGTATATTAATCTTTCAAATGATGTCCATTTTTTTAAATTTAAACAATAAACGGCCGTTTTGGTGCTCTTAGATGTGATCACTAAATAAATGCCTCAGTTTAAACAGCAGTGCGTAGCGCGAGTGAGCGTTATCATCCCTTCCTCTTTACTACTAGTTTTATTGTGAAATAAACATGAATGAACATCTCATGCCTCACGTAATTGCTTAATCAGTGTTTCAACCGCAGAAAGACGTCAATAAAACAGCTTGTAAACAAAAGCATTTCATTTACCTCAGGCAAGTCATCAGTGTCCACATCTCGTTCACTAGAGAAATTAAGTCTAGAGAAGAGCATTTTGCAAAATATTAGGAAATATACTAATAAACTACTATTATAGTTTACCTGGCCTGTTAGTGATGTCTTAATTATTTAATTTATGTTTAAATAAATCTGTTATGAAACAAGTTGACAGCTATGGTGTAAATGCATATATTTCAACAACAAATAGAAATGTTATAATTTAGAAATTAATTTAAAAACTGCATTGTGCAATTTATATGTTTGCATTCAATTTTTTTTTAAGTTGAGTGTTGACTTAAAAAAAAAAAAAAAAAAATAGTAATTAAATTTAAATTTGGGCTCTGTTGTTAACTGTAACCTTAAAGTAGGCCTAATGTAAAAGGGCTCACTATAGTTTAGAGTATAATCCGAGGTAGATTTTTATCCCTAAGAAAATTTGAATTATAACTGAATTTATTTAAAGTAAGAGCAATTTTATTCAGTAAACCACCACTGATTAAAATTTTTTTTATATGTTTAGTTTTTCCCCCTGCTGTATCAAAAATGTACTTTTAAGTTGAGTGTTGACTTTTAAAAAATAAATAAATAGTAATTAAATTTAAATTTGGGCTCTGTTGTTAATTGTAACCTTATAGTAATGTAAACGGGCTCACTATAGTTTAGAGCATAAGCTGAGGTCGATTTTTATCCCTAGGAACATTTTAATTATAATTTAATTTATTTAAAGAAAGAGCAATTTGTTCAGTAAACCACCGTTTAAAAAAAAAGCAATTTTATGTTTAGTTTTTTTCCCCCTGCAGTACCAAAAAGACCATACCGAACCGTGATGTCAAAACAGAGGTACATACCGAACCGTATTTGTGTACCATTACACCCCTACTTTTTATAGAAAACTACAGAGTACAGTCTTCTCATGTAAGTGAACCCCATTCAGATGACTCTTTAACAATATTTATTTCTTAATGGGTAAAATTCAATTAGAATAAATACAAATTAAATTAGAAAGTAAAGCTGGCCTGATTGAGACCATTATCCCTGTGCTGACTGACAATGCTGCTCTATCCTTTTCTTTTGTGGATATTTCTTCAGATTTGAGCCCCTCACATCTGCTTTCAGTTTTCTCTCTGCTATGTCTCACTCTGCTGAAAATTCTCTAAGAGGTTCCCACAGTGAAAAGAGAAGCATGGTCTCTTATGCCTTATAAACCTTTAGGCCTCTATGGACCAGTCATGTCATGGTTACCGTCCAGTTCTTCTTAAAGTCTGAAATCTAAGCGCCAGCTATGACATAATTCAAAAGGGAAAAAAGATTTAATATCAAGCTTGAGTGTGTGTGTATTTGTTACCTCTGTGCTAGTCTGGCTTTGGCTCTGATTCTGTGATTGCGCCTCATTCTCCTGCCCTCGAATGTCCAGTGAATCCATGCTGGATGCCGAGGCAGAGTTGACGCTTGACCTGGACGAATGACCGATGGAGCGCACCTCCTGGTCACTGACCGTCCCAACCGATCCTGTGCGGCGATGGTGTGCGCTAGAAGGCGGGTGAGAGAGAGTTGCAGATGAATATGAGGAGGAAGATGATGAGGACGATTCAGAAGTCTGCCTCGCCGCCTCATCCATGCTCAGGGACGCCTTTTCTAGCTGAGCAGTGATGTCATCCAGGGAGAAGTTGGAGGCCAGGGGTCGTGACTGACTGCTGCCACCGCGTACGGTGGAGGCCGGAGAAGCTCTGGTGCTGCTGCTGGTGCTTCCTCCGCTGCTGCCCCCTCCGATGTGTTTGGTGCTGGCCGAGCGGCCTGTGGGTCTTTGTCTAGATTTGCCATCTGAGGGCTTGCTCATGGGTTTGCTGATAGTGCTGAGCTCTTGTTCTATTGAACACAGGTCGGCCATGAGGGCATCCAGGTCCACTGTCTCGCCTTGGTTAATGGCTTCTACATAGAGAGAGGACCATTTTAATTCATTAAATTCAAGTATGCTACCGTTCAAAAGTTTGTGTTAATTAACACTTTAATTCAGCAAAGATGCATTCAATTGATTAAAAGTGATCGTATTTGTTGTTAAAATGATTTCAAATAAATGCTGTTCTCCTAAACTTTTTTTCCACAATGCGAATTCGAATTCGAATGATTTCTGAAGGATCATGTGACACTGAAGACTGGAGAAATGGCTGCTGAAAATTCAGCTTTGCATCGCAGGAATAACTTAAATTTTAAAATATATCACAATAGAACACAGTTATTTTAAATGTGAATAATATTTCACGTTATTACTGTTTGTGCTGTGTTTTTGGTCAAATAAATGCAGCCTTGGTGAGCAAAAGAGACTTCTTTTAAAAACATAAAAAGACTTTTCAACTGCAGTGTTTGTGCATGCTAAACTATAATCACAAGCATTCTGCTCTTATGCTGGTGGTTTAATGATAATCCATGCCGCAACACCACCATATCAGATGCATGTTGAAGGCGTTTTGAGTGGGATTTTGAGTGATAATGAATGCTGAGTAATCAGAGGTGGTATGTGTCTGGGTGTAGTCTAACCGTTGATGTTGTACATAGAGAAACGGTAGGAGAAATTGGCAAGGTTTGTTTCCTGTCTGAGAGGAGCTTTCTGCACTTTCTCAGGACGCCCATCATCCAAACTCTACATTACAGAGAGACAGGGGAAGGTGATCAGGTAAGACGAGACAGACAAATCATAAACATAATCATCAATACAACACATCAATACAATAAAAAAAAACAAAGAATCTAAATTAGGTCTGTCAATTAATTAAAAAAATAGTAATAGAATACTAAATTCTGGCCTAAAATAATTTTCATGTTGTGGCCTCTAACTGATAAACAGCTGATATTAAAATGTTATACTATTTTGACTACATCAATTAAATAACACATTTAAAAAGAATAATCATGATTTTAAATGCTACAAGGGAATTTAGGCATCACATTATAATGTACAGTATGAAAAAATGTATATATTAATGACATTAGATCAGTGGTTCTCAAGCTTTTTGATTCTTAAACCCCCCGAAAAACTTTTTGCCTCATTACTTCTCCAGTTGTTCATTATTATGATTTAAAAAAATATTTTTTACATACAATTTCTACTCTGTAAAATATTTTAAGCTGGGCATAAGTAGAAAAATGCATATTCATAAAATACATTAAAATAAGATTTTATTAAAGTTTACCCAAAAATGAAAATGTTGTTCCATGTCGTTTCTTTCTTATGTTGAACATAAAAGATATTTTGAAGAATGCTGGTAATCAAGTTGATGGTCCCCATTGACTTCTATAGTATTTCTTTCCCTGCTATGGAAGTCAATGGGGACCAACAACAGTTTGGTTCTTCAAAATATCTTTTTATGTTCAACATAAAGAAACTTATACAGGTTTGGAACAAGGTGAGTAAATGATGACAAAAAGTTTCATTTTTGGGTAAACGATTCCTTTAATTTACATGACATTTGTAGGTCTAGAAATATTTTAAAATCCCTTTTAAAAGTCCATTTTAAAATTAGGATCTTATATATTCAGGTTTCTGAGGACAGTTGCCAGTAAAAATAAAATAAAATAAATACATAAAAATGATTATAAAGAAAATGACCCTGGTCGCCGGTTGAGAACCACTGCTTTGGGTAATCTGATGTGAAAATAGGGAAAATGAGCATGTACAGTTAAATATACATACTGACCTACACTGATACTAAAAATGTAAAATATCACCTGATATGGTAAAATTTTATGCATCCCTAAAACAGAATCAATTACATTATTCAATATCAATATTTGCTGAGAAAAGTCCCCAAAAGTTTAGATAATACATCATATTCAAGATGTAATTCATCACAACAAAGAGTGTAAGAGTGTCACCTGTGTGAGTTTGTCCAGTTCTCCCAACCAGGCACCAAACATCTTGTCCAGATCCTGGTCCTCCTTATCGCTGTCTTCTTCAGCAGCATGGTCCAACTCATCATCTGACACCTGCTCCATGTCTGCTGTAACACGCACACAAACACACCCACACCACCTCAGTACATGATACAGTCAACAACAGACAGCCGGATGTCTAAACACACAGAGAACATCACAGATATTACAGCCTGCTGACATAGAACCAACATTTCAAGAATGACTTGTTGGCTTTGATACGTGTTTGCCAACACAATTAGTTGCGGATTGATTTGAAGGACGATGAACATCACAGGTTGTCATGATGATTGATTTCCACTTTCGTAACCCAGTAAATTATATTTATTTCTCTCTCCTTATTTCACACCATCATGGAAACCCTTGAATCTTTCTTTTAAACGAGGGTTGTGATATGACACCTTCCGATCTGCATTTGACACTGCAATCCCAAAGGACAACATCTGTCAGTCTGGCATATTTGAGAAAAACAAAAACCTTTTTTTTCTTCATTATCTTTATGCATTCTCTGTCAGACACCTCCAGTGTTCATCTCTGTGTAAAGTAAGTCATTATTTCAAGGTTGCCTTCTGAGAGGGTGTGATGTGGTTGTTATGGTAACCTCAGCTCAGTCTCAAAGACTGGCATAGTTGCTATAGCAACCTTCTCTAGATCTCCCACTATCAGTTTTCACCCCCATCATTACCATGGTAAACCCTGCTGTACCTTCCACTGTGTTTCTTGATTCAAAATATTGTTCATGTCTGACTAATGTATCAACATTAATCAAAGCATTCCTAGTTTACTTATAAGTACACTTGTTACTCAAAATGCACTGCATCAAGCACACAAATAAACAAAACAACTTTGAGATCAATATTAATGTTTCAATGCAATGTAATCATATTTTAGATGAGAAATTGGAAACGCTGTAATCAGGCAAATGTTGGGTGTGTTAGTAATGACCTCATTAGAATGGAGATTTGAGGGTGGAAGGCGGTGGTCGCTTATAAAATGTACTTTATTACTGTGATGCAAAGCAAAGCTACCATCACTCCACTCTTCAGTGTCACATGATTCTTCGGAAATCGTTCTAATATGCCAATTTAAGATACATAAGTTTAAGATATTGCTTAAGATATAATCCTTATTATCAATGTCGAAAACAGTGTTGCTACATATTTCTGTGGAAACTGAGATTTCTTTCTAGATTCTTTGATGAATAGAAAGTTCAAAAGAACATTTTGAATATATTTTAACATTATAAATGTATATACTGTCACTTTTGATCAATTTAATGCATCCTTGATGAAAGAAGTATTAATTTCTATTAAAAAATCATTTGGACTGTAATGCATTTCTAACAGCTAATTAAATATTATGGGTAGTTACGGCGCTTAGACCTTGAGAAAAAAGACCACGAGATTGGTTCTCCAGATGTTCTTAAAATTTGCTTAACTGCATAAATATTGTACCAACCCCATGTACTATCACTGTGAGAGTCTCTTCAGAATCTGTGTTTGGGTTAGGAGAGTCCTGGTGTCTTTGTTTTCTAACAATACAGTCCTGCTGACATCCACTCTAATAGTCTAATAGTCGCAGGTCGGCAGGAGACACCAAACTGAACGTTTTAGCCATTACTATTATAAGATGGTTTCAGACCCCTCTGGGTAAGCTGCATCTTCCAGTGTTTGCATATGCAAGTCCAGTGACAAGATACAATCAGAAGCGGTTCAGTTCAACAAGGTGCTTAATTCAGTAGATCGAGTCTTGCAAATATATCATTCTAGCCCCGTGCTCGGTCTCCCCGCTTTCAGATCAGCAGGATGCTAATGATGCCTTCAGTCACTCTACTGCAAACGGCCATGGTTCTGCATAATCAGTCAAGCACAAAGAGGATAAATAAAAAGAGAGAGAGAGGGAATGAGAGGGGAGAGTATGGGACAAAAGGAGATTTAGCAAAATTATGGAACAGCAGAAAATGAAAAATAAAATAGGTGGAGATAGAGAACGAGAGCAGAGGGAAATTAGAGAGGTGTGTTATCTTGGCACCCTGTTGCTTAACAGCTGCTGGTTTAGACTAAGCTCTGCTAAACTCTCTCTCACACACACACACACACAAAATGGTGAAGTAAAAAATGTAGACTATAAATTCATCCTTCCTATTTCATCTGCCACTACACATAATCTAAAAATCTGTGCTTCATTCTATGAAATGAATGCCTTTTTTATTTTGTGATATTTTCAAAGAGACTTCTATTAAATATAAGTATATCTGAATGTGCTAATTAACTGAACTGTGCCATTTAAAGCTTTATAATATATGAATAAATAAGTGTCTGCTGGGATGTTGTGAATGTGAGGGTGGAACACTGCAAAGCAAAATGGCTACTGCTCTACTTATCATCAAGGTTACGGCCTGCTGTCAGCAGTGAACAAAAAAAGCAGTAACCAAGCCTCACAGACACAGAAAAGGATTCTGTTTTACATGAAAATAAATGTTTTTATGCAACCAAGTCAGCATTTTATTTACACAAGGATGCATTAAATTGATCAAAAGTGACAGTACAGTGACATAATGTCTATTTCAAATAAATTAAACTTGTTCTTTTAAACTTACTGGCTTTGCATCACAGGTATAAATTGCATTTTAACATACATTCGCAAAGAAAAAAAATATTTGAAATGGTAATAATATTTTAATATTTATCAATAATAATACATACAACTAAAAGCAGCCTTGATGAAACTATTTGGATGGTAGTGCATTTAATACACCATCAAATAAAATAATACATGTTCTAAAGGAATATGCTCATAATTTATAATTATGAAAATATAATTCAAGGATTCAAATCAGTGGATTGTTGTGTTTATAGCATTTCATAAAGTCATGAAATAGTACTTGTTCATAGGGTGACTCGTGTAAGAATGAGTGAAAATGATAAAAAGAGAAAAAGAGAGGAACAGAGGGAAAGACAGGAAATGTCCAGGATGTACAGAATTCTTCATTTCCCCCGCGAGCTGTTCTGTCAAGGTTCTCCCACCACCCTCCAGCAGCTGTTCTCTGGCTGACACACACACACACACACACACACACACACACACACACACACACACACACACACACACACACACGCTCTCTCCATCTCTCTCAATATACAGAGCGATCACACACACACACACACACACACACACACACACACACACACACACACACTCTCTCTCTCTCTCTCTCCTTCTATGAGGCTAAATATGACATCATGGCTGGCCAAGGAGGGGGACAGGAAAAGGAAGAGGGGTGAACAGACTACCACCCTTTTCCATGTGCACAATCTCACTCTTTCAAACACACACAGACGGTGTCAAAGCAGAACAAGAAGAAACACTACAGCTGCCACTCTTACCTCCCTGACCTCTTGCTCAAACACACACACACAAGTGTGCTTGTGAGCTTGGCCACAAATAAACACACACACACACACACACACACACAAACAAGTGGCATGTGTGCTAATGTTATTATTCATCCCTACCCAAACACATGACATATGGCAAAACACACACAACCCAGGGATCTGAGAGCTACTCAAATCTAATAAATCACTTTCCAGCAGATGCCAACTTCTGAATTAGCCTAGAACTTGACACTTCAGCATAAAAAGGGGAAATGTTTGTATGTGTCCTCTCCAGTGGTCTTGAGCACACATTGATATCACAACAGCAAAGCAGACTAAAGTCAGAACAAACAGAATTCATGACCTCCTCCCTGCAGTAACAGTGGGACACAGCACTCACATCTGTCATGTACGTGTCCGGGTCATATTTATTCCAAACATACAAAAACTAAACGACAACAAAAAAGCATTTTTTTCATTAGGAAAATTAAGCTTTGAGTGTGAAGCCATGCATTCTTTGAGGGGTGATGACCTGAACAGTTAGATGATATACTAAGCCTGTCACAATCATTAAAATATGCCTGACATAATTTGAGAATTTATTTTCGGTTACAATATACATTTAACACAACGTAATATGGCTTGGTGAGCAGTAGAGACTTTTTTTCAAAAACGTCAAAAAAAATTAATTATTACAAATCTTGACCTGGACTGTATGCATATATATATATATATATATTTGAATGTATATACAAGTATATTCTTCATTCTGTTATCTCCAGAGTAAAGCCAAATGTAAAATATAAGTATAAATTATAAGTAAATTTGTATAACTTACAAACACTTTTTGTAAGTTTTGTAGTGTCTAGATTGGTATTACAACATATGTTGTATTAAAATAAACATATCTGCATTGAGATTTAAAACATTCTACTGGACTTTTAATACAATAATCTTGGTTAAGATGAAGTCAGATATGACCACATACATTTCTGATGCACAGTTATGTTTTGACTTTGAATCAGTGTGATGCCACATTGAGTTGATCAGATAAATAGCAGAAAGAAGACTTAGACTGCAATGACGCTCTAAAATCATTCCTTTTCCTTGTTTCTCAACTGTGTACATCTCAACTCTGTACATCTGTTTTTCCCAGATAAAAACTAATTCAGCAGAAACAAAGGCAGCTTTTTACTGACACACTTCATTTTCATAACCAGCAGTAATAACACAACATTCCTGTAAATGCTTTACAAACACATCAGTCATTTGTGACCAAAAAAACCTACCTATGACCTTTAACCATGTCATATAGAGACATTTAAAGAATATGTTACTGTACTGCCATACAAATGTCTGATTGTGATCTGCATGGGGAGCAATGAACGGATGTTTCCGTAAAAGAGGTTAAAATGTGGGTGGGTAGAGGAGTGGGTGTTTTTAGCTCTGCTTTCTACACATCAATTCTTCAGACTCAACTCTTGTGTGACTTACACAAGGTGAAGAATTGGCTCTGTGAGGACGTGAGGGGGAAAAAAGCACATGAATCTGAGGCATGAAAAACCATGCATGACAAATGTTGAAACTACTCATCCCTACTAGCTCTTATTATTAGAGATGTAACAATTTAGCATTTTGTAAATCACAATGCGATACAATTCACGATACTGATTTCACAATGCATTATT